CTTTGGTGATTCGAACCGGTCATATTGTCACGATGAAGCTCCTGACCGCAGAACAGAAATTGTCTAGAAATTCCGTGAAAGGGGTTTTTTGACTTCATAACCTTCGATCAGTGACCACTCTGGAGCCCTGACCTAAATTCCATGAATGTCTCAATGTGGTCAGCCTCTGAGATGAAGGCATCCTTTAGCCCAAACAAGAGAAGAAATAATCTCGAAAATGCTTAGCAAAAAGCCGGGACCATTTCGATGACCCTAGCTGCGTGCCACCGTCAATGCCGTCCATAGTCGTCTTTGGGGTTGGGTGAAAGCAGAAAGCAACAGATTCCAGTCTCAATGTACAGTTTTGATAAGAAATTTGTGGTAAAGCCTTTAATGAAATTGGCTTGCTCTATGAGCATTCCGTTCGTTTTCTGCGATGTAATTTCTGTGTAATCATAATTTTGGCCCACCCTGTACTCTAGGATCTCAACATCTCTTTCACGCTAAACATCATTCAGTCAGAAACAAGTGTGTCGAAGCTCGTGCCGCGCGCGAGTAGCGCACGGTTTTCGTTTTTTCTCGTCAACTTCTTCGCGTCAAGAGGCTTACAAATGTTTCCAATTCTATCTGGGTACCGTGTATTTACTCAAGGTGGCCTCTCCGCATCGGAGTAGAATATACAAAAGAATCAGCAGTCATTTTTCTCGTGTTCCTGCAGGTTCCGCAGCGTACTCTTTCCCAAGCATTTATATACAGAAAAGGGTAGTATGTGAGACAAGACGACCGTTTTGTGGTTAAACGTTGACCTGCCTACGCAACGTGATTCAAGAAACTGTTTTGTGGGGAATGTTTAGACTAGGAACGAACCCGGAAAAGGACTCACCAAATGCGCGCAAAGACGGAACGTTCGGTAGATGTCTGCGAGGCTCCATCAATTTTTGGAAACGAATTGAGAGCACCAAAATAGATATGTGGGCGAAGATATGTCATAAACATAAGGAAAGGTACAGAATTGGAGAAACCCTCCAAAGAAGGAAATTGCGGAGGTCCAAAAAGTTGTTACCATATTTATGGCGCACCCTGTATATATAGCAACTCCCGCATCCGACTTCCATTCAGAATCGCATAGGCGTATTGAATATCTGTGTGGCCTATACAATATATTATATACGATATATTGTATTGATTCATATGAGGCCCTAAAGGCAATACCGAAGAAACGCTAGCTAATGAAGTTCTAAAGGAGTTTAAATCAAAACCTCGCAAAATTTCAAGGTACATTATATAGGAAAATGAAGCATATAAATGAAGTGAAGGACGAAGCCTTCGAGATCGATCCCATGAGCAATTGATCAATTCTATGAGCAACTCCCGCAATCGATTTCCATTCAGAATCGCAGGGGCGTACTGAATATCTATGCGGCCTATACAATACAGTGACAAGCCGCTGTACAATGGCCGGTCTTGGCTTATATCGATGCAAGATTCAATCTCGGACAATGCATGTGTGATAGTGCGCCCCTTGCCACTTCATCATCCATGCCCGTTATCGATACTACATATCTCTCCGAATATGAAGTTCTAACTTTGCGTGTCTGTTTGTATGTAGGTTTACGTGTCTGTGTCACTCTTCATCGTGAGAAGTCGCGCATCCACGATGAAGAGTGTGAAATTTTACGGTGAGGAAGCAGTTATGAAACAGGAAGCCTACCGACAGGCTACTTTCAGAGTCCTGCGGTTGGCCCCGCGAGCTCGCGCGCGCTTTGGCAGGAGGCGGCGCTACCCTCCTGAGGAGGTGTAAAGAAACTGAAAGTTGATCGATACCGCAGGTCGAGTGACTGATTTGAAATTCAATGCGGCCGCTGAAGGGCTTTCAAATTCGAGAAATCAGTCGCTCGACCTGCGCTATCGATCAACATTTAGTTTGCAAACGAGTGGCAAGCGCCGCCCCCGGCCGGCACGCGTACGTGCTCGCGGGGCCGGCCGGCGGTCATTGAAAGCAGCCNTACTATTTTATTGATCTCTTTACGATTACGGGTCTCTTCTTACATCAGTGACAAAAGCATAGCTTCGTTCCTTTTGACGACGAATGAACCTTATTTCAAATAGCACGCGACATTGCCAAGTTGCCACTGCATCTCTCCGACCACTTACAGAGCTTTTCCCAGTGGCGTGACTCGAAGACATTTTAGTACAATGATAGAGGAAAAAGGCCACCATCAGACATTGTTTCAAGAGGGCGGGTCTAGAAAAGGGATTCGCCATTATGAAAAAACCACCCTTTAATCTAAAGCAACGCCTGGTTCGAAACCGGCCACACAATCGCCTATGTACCACCTCAAATTGTGTGGTATGTCTAACTAGCAGGGAAGGAGATTGCGTAAGGTCTTGGTGGTCTATACGATCGCTTGTCGTAGCCACTTTTTTACGTGAGGATTAAGGAGCGCTTGGATAGCATGAATCTATTGATCTCCACCGCCTCAGGAGCCCACCACATTTAAAATCACAGTGGAGGCGTTTTCGAGGTCATCGTGGAGGTCGTGGCACAGGAATATCAACTGTTCAAGCACTAATCCCTCGTGGCATTTGAATACAGACCATCAATCTGAAATTAAACAGGAGGGAAGAATGCCACACAATAACGGGGGGACTGAGGCTTTATACAAAGTTGGTCTTTCTACAGGGATTTCGATTAAGATCAAGCTTAGCTGACCTGGTCCCACTATTAGTTTCTGAGCAATTTCGAATATCCACGGAGTGACGGTGCGCATTACTTCTTAAGATTACGTGTATGCCCTAAGAGTTTCGAAGATCGTCGATTTAATATTCTCGAATTGTTTTGATACATTTTAGGCCCTGAAGAAGGCGATTTCGTCGAAACGTTAGGTAATAATGTTTCAATAACAACCTCGTGAGAGCTTAAAGAACATCAAGCTAGAACCTTATTCAGTTTTTTCTTCAAGCACGGGGTGAGCATACCTTCAAAGAAAACAGTAGGTGGGAAAAGTTGCTGTCAGGCAGCTTCTCACCGTTACGCCTTCTAGAGGTTGTGAAAGGACGAGTTACGGGCAGTACTGGGTGGAACTTGTAGCCATTTTTAGTCAGCAGTCGTAGAAGTTCGAAAATAGACGGGTCGCTAAGAATCGTAGGCAGCAGGTGGTAGGGGGTAGGCGTGAATTTTTGCTGATGCATTTTGACCAGCTATCTCTTTGACTCACTTTCGGTTCCACGTGGCCATGTCATTCCTCTACAAGTCACCCCTGATCGCTTTCGTTTTCTCATTTTTATGTTCCCAGTACCTTCCTTTTCTCATTGTATTTATTAACCCTTTTTTACGCAATACATGGTACGAGCAAAAAGTAGAAATTCAGCTGATCGAAAAGCACTGCCGCAACATGGTAGAATGTAGTGACTGACGGCCTTGACAGCATCAGCAGAAATTCGCGTGTGTGATGGGCGATAAACGCGTGAATTCAAGGGGCAAACAAGCCGCATGTCACTGTGCACAATGAAAGCAGGTACTTTTCTGATCTATAATCACTAGTTTGATGAGTTGATTGACATCAACAAGGAGCCTTGGTTTTTACGCTACGACTGGAGCATTTTTTGATCTGTTCTCCACACTACCGCTTTTATTCGTATTACCGTTGGAGAAAATCCATTTCACAGAATTGAAATGCCACGATCACCACTCCCGGGAACAGGGTATGAAGAGGTATGCATGTAGAATTGCTTGTTTATGTCAGCAGCATTTGGCGGACAAGCATTTGCAAGTAACCAAAACTCAACATAGTACAGTCAATTATTACTGCTGATACTACTGATAAAGCAAAACGAAAAACGAACATCTTCTCCATGCAAATCGAACTCAGTATCCTGATCCTTTTTGCTCCTGCCCTTGCGAGTTATGGAACGGAAAACTTCTGAAATAGCCCAAGGTCACAATAGCAGCACGCATACTATAGTTGCTAATCGATTTCATTGTCAGTTGCCATTCGTCGAGAATCAATACTCAAGTTCAGACTGCGCCCTTGTGATTAGAGCTCTACACAAATGTGCTTGCCTCCGATGGTATGGTAAGGATCCGCCTGAGACTGCACTCCGACTGTGGCTAATCGCTTCGTGCCCATTGCGAGAATTCTTTGCTAAACAAAGTGTCACGTAGTACAGAAGCTTCTATAGCTTTAGTCGATAAAGCATTATATTGTAAAGGTAAATGGTAAAGGCCAGCATTTCAGAAAACCACTACAAGAATATATTCAAGAATTCAAGGTTGGATTATGAGGGGCTTCCACTTTTTGAGGAACTGTTGCTGAAACAGGCAGACAAACGACACAAACTCTCACCTTTTGATAGTCAGGAATGGGAACACCACCGGATGAGCTGAAGACCGCCGAACACATATTGTCCGTCTTCACAGATAGTTGTGGTATCGTTCCATCGTTACTTGTATCAGCTGCTTTTATCGTAAAGCTGAATTGTTGGATGGCAATAGGATTTCACCAAGTCCGATCCGCATTTCGTGACAGTGGTACGTGTAGAATGACAAAATCGAGAGAATTCAGCTTTTCTAGTAAGGAGAATTTGATGAATCTCACCGTTTCGTGCCCATCGGAGATGTGATATCAGAGACCTTAGATGTCATTAAGTTCCCGGTACCGACCACGTGATACCGCCTGCTCATGTCATTGAGAACACCACGTATTCTTTGCGTCGCCTCAGCCTGTCTCGCTCTCACACCTAATTTCGACTGAATCAGTTTGAAGAGATGTGGACGAGTCACCGACCCCAGCAAAACCATCGAATCTGAAATGGTGCCCTGGATTAGACTTGCGCACACGAATAACCATAGGGTGATGTTTGGCCACTGAATGAAAGCGTTGACAACTTAAAGCGCTCCACTGACAAAACTCAAAAAACAGCAAATTCAAGATTAGGGTCCTCGTGTTCACCGTTAATTTATAGCATCATTCTACCATGAAAGGCCAAGAAGGAGCGTTTGAGCGAGTTCTTCAACATTGCTGAGTACATCAATAAAGCACTTGAGGAAATAGCTAGGAGAACTTCGGCCCTATTTCGAGGTAATCTCTGCCAAAGTGAACCATTAACATGAGCCGTCGGTGTAGTCTGCCGGTTTGTCCCTTACGTAAACTGTTAGTCTGTGAACGTAGGGATTCGTCGGTCTTTAATATGTCTACCCATCTGCGAAAATGTGATAAGGGTGATGATATAGTGAAATACACTTGACAGGAATAGTCAAAGAAAGAAGAAAGCACGAAAAGATAGATAGATAGCAAGACATCAGGTGTGGGCTCAGATGGAGTAGCAGAGAACGATAACAATTGATAGGGAGCAGTAAGAGCTCTTGAGCTCTCTCCTGAATGAAACGTTGTTGATTTTAATGCAGTTATGTCTTCAGATTTTAATACCTGAAGCATTCGCATTATGTTGTTCAGAAATAAAAGAAGGTTACTTTTTTCTTACACAACTTTGAAGTGAATTAACAGCACTCAAGTGGGTGGTTATCTGGAGCAAAACGGGATCATAAATCGAAGAGTGCTAAAGGTTGAAACTATTGATGAAGATTATTAAGAGGCCTCAGAGGAGGTACACCGAATTCATTCACGATCAACAGTGGCTTATAGAGGATTGAACCGCCGACCAAATGTAGCTTGTGCTTGCCTAGAGATGCAGGGGCTTCAGAGCACTGACCCCTGTTACTGCTGTGCTAGTTCGATATATCGTCAATACCACCCCACACCCCTACCACATAGAGTTAGCAAGTTAACACATACTCTGACACCTTCAGATCTCTCAGTACTTGAGTAGGTTAAAACATAACAATCCTTGGTGAATAATAGTTATACTTCTNCTTCTCGTGATTAGAACACAATTCCTCTCGTTTCAAAGGAGATTGCAATATGTTCCTTTACGACATTTAGGATGATGCCTCATGTTTCACTTTTTCCGTGAGTCAACAATAAAATCTGGGGAAGTCTCACGTAATAAGTCGAATTTTCATTAGCACTCAAGACTGTCCATGCCCAAGACGCCGCATTTTATAGGCCTGCGATTGCCGTATAGCGATGCAGGTATGGGCAGCTTTCGAAATTGAAGTACGACCGAATTCAAAATGTTGCATTCGATTTTTAAGGAAATATGAACTAAAATAAACAATCATAAGACTGACATGGCTGGAAATGTGGGAATAGCAAGTTACGCATGCCCGTCGTAGATATGGAAGGGAGACTTTGAAATAACTTTTCACATTTAGAGCATAAAGTGAATCATCTCTGTGCTAAACTTCTGCCTGTCTGCTCGCCTATGTCTAACTATTGATTTATTTCGTTTAAATCGACTTCAAACACAGCTTGGAAGTATTGCATGGTGAGACTTACGCTTATTTTCCACCAGTGGGAATGCTCTCACATGAGCCATTTTCAAGATTACATCCTGCACCTCACCATAGGTCGAGTCTTTGCCCACGTACGCGACTGGAGTAGTCATGAATTGTTCAGCTGATAGAGAATGGTACCTGGAATCACTAACTTGGAAGGGTGATATTCACAAGGTGTCCAAAAATTTAAGAAGCCCAAATTCACAAGCTTTTTAGGCAGAAGCGCATTATTTTTATTTTCACTTTAATAGCCCTCACTTAGCTGAACAAATATGTTTTCTGTATACCACAGTGATACTCCTGATATCTTTTAGATGGTGAAGGCCATGAAGTTTGATTTGCAATCATTTGCGTGTGCAAGAAGCGGAAAGGCATAGTAAAAAGTCGTGTGATTCCAATAATGACGGTTAGGAAAGGTGTTAGCCTTCACAGAAAAGCAGAACCAGTCAAACTTGAAGTCGCAGAGGGGCGGAAGACCAATCTTTTTAAAAGTAAGACAATAAAGTAGTCCGTCTGCGATTCAGTCGTGATCCAGGGTGGCCCATCAAAAAGATGGCATCGGAGCAAGCCTTATCGAAGTTATTGATGGGCAGGGTTGTGAAGCAAGAGCTTCATTGCCACTCTTAGTATATGCGAGAATTCCACTTTATTTTCGGCCTGAACAGACAGTGTAACGGCATATTATGCAGAGGGTGGCTAACTCAAGTGAGCGGAAGCAAAGCATCCTCTTCTCGCTTTCTATGACGAGAACGTTTTCTACGACAAAGGCAATCCTCTACAAATAAAACGGTTGCGTTTCATATAAGAATATAATCTACAATCTCTCGCGAAAAGCTATGGTGACAGTTAAATAATGTTTATTGTAGATGTTTACTGCGTGAAATTTAACAAAGGCAATTTAAGGAGTATGCTAATGGATCTACTGAAGCACTAGTCCGACTCCGCCTCCGAAACAGCCCATGGTCCTACCAGCGCTACGGTACTCCAACCCACAGAACCGTGCTGACGTTAGCTACCCCAGTTCATTAGCATGAGGGAAAGGCCATCCCGCTTTCTGAATGTCAAATGATTTACTCCTCCCTGAGCAGGAGAGAACCTGTCGGGTTCGAAGTTTCACTTTGGAGTCCTCAAAGGCAAGTTTGAAAAACCGTTGGCAGAGATAGAGGAGAGATACTTGCATGCATAATGTGCTGCGTGCAACAGCACTATCACGGGCCTCCTGCAGAGTTTATGGGGGAGTTTTGGAACGTGATCGTGGTTTTTGTTGCACATAGTGTAAGCAATTGTGCATAAACTCTGCAGGAGGCCCGTGATAGTGCTGTTGCACGCAGCACTATTGTCTTTCTAGCTTGGGAGCGCATCAACGACATCAGCCTTTTTCAAACCATAGATCGCATCAAAATGGAAGTTGGGTGGCAAGCCTTCAATAGCAGCGGTTAGTCGCCTAACTCGTTCCAAAAGTATTATGTAAAGACCTCAAATCGCATCCAAGTGAAAACGTTTTGCTTCAAGCTATTACCTTGAAGTTGTTGCCTGGAAGGATTCTTTTCTATATACTTGGTTGTAGTCCATTAATTTATGGATGTGATTATTTGTGTGTGTGTATGTCTCGGCGTTTGTGTTTGACCGGAGATATAACTCTAGTCTCTGAAGCTATAGCGTTCAATTTTTTTCATAGGCAGCGGGATGGGAGCACTAATGGTAGGTGATAGGACTGTTAACAGATAGGTAATTGATAAGCATCCATGGTGCTAGATTGGGATCCTGGCACCTTCTGTTAGCGGTGGAATTCTCGGACTTTCGTGGGTGAGGTGGGGGGGGGGGGGGGGGGGGTGAAGAGACGGCATTAAAACTGATGGAGACTGATAACGAGCAACAGAAAGCGAGAGGCATTGAGCCAATTATGCCTTCATGTAAACAGTGGATTCTGAACACCCCGTGGTTATTTACAATTTGCTGGGATCGTGGATGCGTGGTCACAGAATTTGATTGATTCATTGGAACTAGTACGGAGCCTCAAAAGGGAGGAGCTGGTGGGTAGAGTACTCTTGGGTTCTTCGGCTTGATAGTAGAAATTGACGCATTGGAAAATGATGTGGCGTGCAAAGGGACGGTTACACCCTTCGCGTGGACAGTGGAACCTTATCGTCTCTGTGAATGTGACGAAAGGAACGACGACGGAAAGTGACGAAGTCGTGGCTCATTGGTGGCGGACACCGATAGCTAGTGTTAAGGTCAGATAAGTGGCCGTAGAAGGCGATAGTCATTGAGTCTGTAACATCATTCGTGTTACAGTTTCAACCCTGACACTTGGGCGTAGGTTGTGTCAAAATGTTGGATGCTTCGGGACAGGTACTGATAATATAGCTGAGGGCTGATAAGTAGATTTGGGCTTCCATTACAATGACAAACTCGACTTCTCGTCTCATTGTAGCCATATCCAGCGTATTGCTCTTTACCGTACGTACCAGATTATTGAGGCGCTCACCACAAAGGATACAAATGTTCTTGTCCATGCATATAGGACCTATGTCCGTTCGCTCGTGGAAAGCGGTACCGTTGTTTTCTGCCCTAACAAAAAGAAGAACATTATGTTGCTAGAAAGGGTCCAGAACAATTTCACTCGGAAAATTCAATTTGCCGGGGTGGTTTTCGCTATTCAAAAATTCCTAAGGCCGCAATTAGAAACAAAAATTTCAACATCCCTTCACTAGAGTCTCGGCGCAAACTTTTTGACTTGTGCATGATACATAACTTGCTGACAGGCAAAACCGCGGTACATTTTTCGGATTTCTACTCATTGATTCCCTCAAAAACAAGGGGTAGTCAGCTCAAATTATCCTTCTCTAGACCCAAAACAACCTTAAGAAGAAACTTTTTCACCGTAAGGGCTGGTCTTTTCATAGTCATACTTGCAAACCAGCAAGGCGCCTAGCATCCAAGCTCCTGAGCTAATTCGAACGGGCAGTTGCCAAAAATGTTTTACAAGTATAGCTCCCACCTTTTTTCTCAGAATTTGTTTGTTCTATCGTAATGTTTTGTGTTGCTGGCGTTTGTTTATGTTTTCTTTTTCAATGCTGTCTTATATGGCGTAAATGATAAATAAAAAAATAATTAGCTGTAGAATGCAAGAATCATTGGTCGAAGACTTTTTTTGGCTCGATAGTAGAGGCTTGAAACCTTGGTAAGTAGTGTGAAATTGGTCGGGATGGTGAACGGTATGTGTGAAGAACTAATATCAACTGTCAAGCGCTATAACTGCCACCAGATCACTTCCTCTTTTCGCATGCTGAGGGCATATCGCTATTTCAATGCATGATATAGGATGTAAATGGACCGCGGATAAGGGATTGCAGAAGATGATATTCGCTGATAAATGCTGATAAGGAATATTAAGACTAGACCGTTTCCAGTTCCCAATTCATTCATTATACACTGGTCAGTTCGCCTGGCTAATGCTGGGCTTCTCTCCTTTCTTCAGTGAAGTTGTAGTAATCGGGTAACTCTCTACTTCTTTGTAACAAATAATACTTCCCTGTAGACAAAGTTTGGCTCAGGTTTAACACGACAGCGCTAATGGTATTCAGTGTAAGTCGGTGCCCCGGCTTTTAGATGGGGTCTGGATTTTTTGCTCACGTTCTTAAAGTGAATACCAACAAGAACTCATTTGTTAGGTCAAAACTTGCTGGGTGGCGGTCGTAATCTAATGGCAAGAAATGAACGAAATTCTCCCTCTCATTGCATTTACCACTTCTCTCCTCCTTCGATACACATTTGTCACTCAACCATCCCGTCAATCGAATGAAAAATACTGAACAGTCAAAGCTGCATCGTAAATACGGAAAGGTTAGGATTTTGATCGGTAGGTGGCTCGATTTGATTTCTTTGGGTTCACGGGAGCAGGATTTAAGAATATCCGTCTAAGCATTGATTTCGCTTAAACCCAGCCCCCTGTGGGTGGAATCTGACCGCTACCCTTCATAAAAGTTCCTATCCTGCTCGCCTATCAAACTTGTGAATGCCCTAGAATCAAATTCACAATTTTCGTGCAATCTCCCTGTGGGAGTAGCTTGCCCCCCTACCATAAGTGTTCCATCCTGTCGCCTGTAATCCAACCAAATTTCAACGCTCTAGGCCCAGGTAGACACGAGTCATGAATATGCAGCCGCAAATTTCTAGCGCGCACACCTCGCCCTTAGGCGAAATCTGGTCCTGCTACCTGCTATGAGTGTTCCCATCCTGCCGGCTATACCCTTACCAAATTTCAACTCTCTAGATCCACGGGAACAGGAGTTATGAATTTCCAGTCAAACACACACACACCGACACACACAGACACACAAACACACCGACGAATCAACAGACACACTTAACGAATGTATAGTGGGATACATCCCTTCGGCATACGACATTTTAATATGTTTCATCGGATGAGACGATATGATAAAGTAGATCGACAGAAAACGACCGTATTACATTCATAAGGGCCGATCAATTAGAACGTTGGAAAAGTGGAAAGGATGTTTGTTCCACTACTTGTTATCAGATTACAGATGTGTCTCACAGTCTTTTCCCATGAGGACCATGTTTTGTTTTCATTCACACCTCGGTTGCCACAAACACTATGAGACCATCTTTCGAAAGATTGAGATTCTAATGAGTGGTCAATATCGAGACTAAGTGCAACAGACAGTGATTTTCACAGTGTGTGTGATAGGCGTATATATGGTGCGGAGTGCTGTTCCGTTCCGTTACTCAAAGCGCTTGGAACAATGGAAACGAGTATGCTGCGTTGGACGGTTGGAACACGCGTTTGGACCGTATTCGCAAGGATGCAATAGGGTAATAACCCCTACTGCTGATGAAATGCACGAAGCTCGCCTTCGCGGTCATGTCCTGTCTGTGCAACCATAACCAAAACCGGCTTCGAGTGTGGCGTGCTTGGGAAAGGGACAAGGGACGACCAAAGGGCCAAAAAGCGAAGGGGAACAAGAAGAAATTGAACAAGAAGAAGAAGAACAAGAAGGAGAATAACAAGGAGAAATATGGGCATCAAATGGAACGTGTTAATAATGAAAAGTACATATGCATGTAATCGAAACAGCTGTCAGTAGTCTATGTGTACTTACATCGAAGAACTGTGTGAAATGTCAGGCAGGTAAGGCAGTCGTTTGATCTTGATGATGCTGTCGTATATTGATGGTTGCAAATAGGAACATACGGCGTTTGCAATCAAAACAGCTATCTGAATGGCAGCAATAGGAAAATTCAACAAAAAGGGTATCAGCACAGATGACTCAATGACTTTCTTTCCCCGAAGAAAAAAGCCGAATCACACCGATGTGAACAGATACTGAGTAGGCTCAAATACATGACGTATCTCAGTAGGACACTCGAACATACCAGAAATCATATTTTTTTATCCGTCACGATTAAATGATACGTTTAGGAAAAACCTTAAAAATGCAAGACTTTTTTCAAAATGACATCGACTTGCTCATAAAACCTCCCGTGATAATGATTCAGGCAAATTTACGATGAAGACAAATATTACATGATACCGTATTTGAGAAAACCGAATCTGTGCTGAAGTCAGAAATCCAGTACCCTGTTGTTTTGCAACTATTTCATTGCAACCAGAAAGTTGAATGATGACCACGAAAATCTCACCCTTCGTGGTAGCTCCTCGAAAGAGTTCAAATTCTCCATAAATTATCTTTCTTGCGAAAGCTATTTCTTTTTGCCGTACAAGAGTCTGCTATTTTCCGAATATGATGCTGCTTTCCAGGAAACCTGCTTCTAAAGGCCTCAAATCTTCAGTGTATTCAAATTGGGCAGCATCTTAATACGTGAAATTGGAAGTGAAACGAGAGTTCAAGTTTCAATACTTAATGGGACCACGAGCAGGCGTTCATTTCTTTCTTCAAGGCGATATTGCAGAGAACATTTTCCTTAGCATCAAAGTAAATTTTGCATACCAACTGCTATGAAACTTCCACGATAAAGTTGTCCAGAAGAAGGGAAGAATCAGCATTTGTAAGTGCTCATAAGCGATAACCTTTCAAGTCCGCAGTATGAGGTACACGAAGGACAAGGACAGCGGTGCCTGAGTGAGAGCACGTGATCATGCCAGCGGGACCATGAGAGGATCGGACGTAAAAAATGTCGAAAACGTTGGACGAAGAAGATCTTCACCGCAGGCGAGCTCAGGTACCCTCGAAACACAAAAAAGCATGGTGCAATCATCGGGGAGAAAAAAAAGAGAAACAGAGGAAAGGTAAATTTCAAGCTAAAAGTTGGCCAAAGTAGACAGGTAGGAAGAAAAGATTCTCTTTTGTCCGGGATCGATTCCGACCGTCATTATATAAGAAACAATAAAAATGAGCAAGCGCCAGTGATTCTGAGCAAATGTGAGGAAATGACTACAGTTGTTAATAAGTTAGAAACAGTGCTAGCCGGTTTGCCCTAGTTGATGCCGCAATTTTAGGAGAATCTGAGAGTCCAACATTTGACAGAGAACGTGTACACAGAAAGAATCTAACTGAAACTGAGTAAATGATTAGAAGCGACAAAAATTCAGTGGTTATCATGTGCTTTCAAGAATAATGGGTCATATATACGGAAGGAGAAGTTCGGCGTCATGCTTAGAGGCACAGCTCGCTATAGGATTGACTTTAAACCTATTAGCATGAATGACCTCTGAAAAAGCCGCAGGGGTCATTTGGGTCATGAAGCTATCTGGACAAAATAAAAGTTTTTGAACCCACACTAAACTAATCGAGATTCAATGCTTTCAATCAGAACAGCATAGCCCTTGTGAAGGCAGTATTATTCAAGATGAAGCATATTTGTTGAGAATGCAGATACAGTACTCGCCGTAAGAACTCAAAAATTCACGAGAATACCGCGAATTCGCGTCCTTTTCGTCTTTTTTTAAAAACCGCTTCAAAATAGAGTAATCGAAGAGAAATAAATACCGTTGAACTGAGCTCATCGAGCTCTATAAGATGATACCCTACAAAAAATGCTGTTGAAAATGCTTTATTTTGGATTTGTAGGGTATCATCTTGTAGAGCTCGATGAGCTGAGTTCAAGGGTATTTTTTCGCCTCGATTACTTTATTATGAAGCGATTTATAAAGAAATGACGAGAAAGACGCGAATTCGCGGTATTCTCGTGAATTTTTGAGTTCTTACTGCGAGTACTGTAAGTATTAAGAATCAGCATAGCCAGCTCTGCAGTGAATTGAAGCCTGCTCGAACACTCCATTCGCCCTCTAAGCCTCGCCCAAACTCACAACTATTAGGTTGATGCGAAAGCCTCGAGATATAAAATTACGTGTTTGGTGGTTTCTCCAAAAAATGTGATACATTCCAGAGTTACCAATCATGATATTCAGAGTAATAGTCAGCTTGGGCATTCGTTCCGCTGGCTACGACATCAACACCACAATCGTAGAGGACCTCGACAGCCATGCAGACATTTGTCGTTTACTTGCTTACTTTCTTCTAGGGATCGAATGATCCTCGTTCGAAAGACCACCTACCATCTATTATGACCGACTTGTCAGAAAGGAGGATATGAATCGGGGAAGGCTCTTGTGTGCGATGGGAGCAACGTCGCGCGAGTTTTACGAACACGGCTACAAAAATTCTTGCTCGATGACTCCGAACCAACAAATCGACGACCTCCGCCAAGTTAGCATCAATCAGCTATCGTTCCCCATCACATCCATTCGAGAGCTTACGCAGGATTTGGTGACGGAAGATGAGAGCAAGGCCTTATATGACGGCAACAAAGGGGTCGCTGTCTCGTAGAAGAAAATGATTCGTTGCCTGCAACCTAAGCCAGACAGCATCAGAGGGTAATTTTGTTGTACTGCTCTCAAGACTCGAAGAAATGATGTAGTATGAGTAACCCCTAAAACCCAGATAGTCACGGCTACCATCACAATCAGCATCGGAATCTCGCTCATGCGAATGAGGAGAGGCTTCTGAGGAGAAGGGTTTTTGTTCGCCTTTTGCATGCTGGCGCTCGATCTTGTGCCGCAAAGGCTACCCAGGCTACTGGAGCGTAGGGTGGTATACGTACAACACCGTCACCAATCCCGTTACCTCGTCCCCTCTGACCATAACTTTCTTGGGCACCCTTATTAGTTTTTGAGCATCAAGAACTTCACCAATTTTGGTAACACCAAAACTGTTGAAGCCTACTTCTTTAACACGCAGTCATTTTACCTCTGGGCGAACTGAATAGACGGCTTGTATAATAGTGTTCAAGTGCGACTGTCTATGAATCTCGCCATGTTTCCTTCCAAATTTGAAGTTTTCTTTCCAAGCTTTTCAACAGAGATTGTAGCAACACTTTATCAAACTGACGTTTCGGTACTTTCACCTCCTTCAGAGCCAGGAAAGTCAAAAGCCATTTGAGAAACCACTCGGCCACGCACTGCTTCAATCCACAGGGAAAGTTCAAGGGATGTGGACTACGAAGCCAGAATTTGTTAACTAACTTTCGGGGTAGTTGACCAGTCCGGTTCACCGATCAGACCAAGCTGGTATAATTTCAGCTTAAATAGGGTGAACCTTGGGTCAACTTGCTTCAGGGGCCTTCAAGGGGCTGATCACGTAGATCAAGCTTTCCCAAAAGCCACACGAGGCCGAGCGTGCCGCTGACCCGTTCCTAAACAGTCCTATCGATTACTGCATAAGCCCACTGACCCCGCCCCGCCGAAAAGACCGCCCGGAGAATAGACCGCGCAGGTCAAAAGCAGCATAATGCTACAAAGAGCGCAGGCGGATTCACATATCTATCGTGACCGTCACCTCAAACCTTATGTTCCCATGACTCGAACCCTATGTTCGCCTAGAGGGAAAGCTATGACCAACTTTCGCATGCCATCCATGTGCTTCATCCCGAGGCAAAAGGCCTGCCTGTTTTCCCAATATACTCCTCTTTACCGTGAAGACACGATATAAATTTACAACTCCACATGTCTACAGTCTCCTTTCTTTCTTCTTCTCACACGAAATCGTAAGACCGCACTCAATTCGTCTGATAGGAATGGGACACGAAACGGAACTTTTGCTCCCTGTTCCTTCGACGATTGTGTGCGACTGTCCACGCCCATTGAACCTTCTCTATAGATTGAAATAGTGCTTGACCGAGTGGTTTTGAATGGCTTTTGTGTTTCCAGGCTCCAGAAAAGGAGAAAGCACCAAAGCGTCAGTTCAGTGAAGTATTGTAACAATTCTGGTTGCACAGCCTACAAGGAAAATCTCAAAAGTGCACCCGAGCGTTTGAAGTCTTTAGCTTTCTCGTTTTCTTAGCCAATTATGAAATAGTCTGCATCAGTGCCACTTCTCGTGTCCTAAAAAACTCCCACTGTAAACTGATCGCAATATGTGCCTTGAAATTATTGCCTGGAGAATATTGTATACTGAATGTAGTGCAAGTGCTAAATACAATAGTAAAGAAAAGGTGAAGTTGAAGATTCTACCATAACCGGTATGAGAAGTACGAGTTGTCCTGTTAGTTCGAAAACAATCACGGCCACGGATACAGTATGAGTGACTGCCCCACAGAATGCAGCAGCTCCTGAATACCTCATATCAAAAGGGAAGGTCCACATATCTCTCTGAAAAAGTTCATCTACCACAGTAGTGTTTATGGAATTATTCCATTGTAATGCATAGGTGCTAAATGGAAAGAATATATCATGTCTCGGATTCGTTTCCTGGTGTCATGACCCTCTCTAGGTTTGAGGAAAGTGTGTTCTGCTCATTTATTACTTACTAAGGTGCAGAGTTTTATAAACATACAAAGCACGATGCCAGTTCAGATCGAAATCACAGTTTTGAAGTACCCACTTCACATTACTAACTTCACTCCGCAGTACTCACTCTTCTCTATCGACCTACTCACCAAGTTACTGCTTTATATATAGAAGGACATGTAGGATAGAGCTGTATTTTCCATATCATAGTTGATAGTAATCATAAAGTTTTCAAAGACATTAGAAGGTACGAAGAATCGTAAAGACAGACAATCAGAAAAACACACTCACAAACACACCGGCAAACCGATACATCAAACTACTCCTTTACAAATAAGGGAGATTATCATGCCTTCTTCACTAGGGAACCTGATTCCAGCGGCACATTTCCCTTTATCTTGTATAAAGCGCTCGCGTCTTCTGTCCGTCCGTCCGTCTGTCTCTTTGCTTGTACGGAAATTCATAACTCCTGTCCCCATGGACCTCAGACGTTCAAATTTGGTATGAGTACAGGCGGCAGGAAGGAAAAGCTTATGGTGACAGGACCAGACTCCGCTCACCAGGGCGGGGTCTGCTCGAAATAAATGTTGGAGCAGAAATTCCATAACTCCTGATCCCGTGGACTTTGGAAGCAAAATCAGTAGGAGTAGAGGGGGCAGGATAGGAACACTTACGATAGAGGAGGCCATAGAGAACAAGATCCAATCACCAATCGAATCCTAGCGCCTTTGTTATTTGCGATCTAGCTTCGATTCTTTGATGTTTCACTCGACAAAAAAGGTGAGTCCATTGATAGGGACCGACTATGAAATTTGGCTACTTGCTGACGACCGCTACCCAGCGAAGTTTGCGATTCAATGAAGGATCACGGTTTCTCTCTGCTTTGATATCATTCCTGGCAAAACTTATCCGACCGCTATCAGTCTTGAATTCTCACTTAATGATGTATCCGAGAAAAGGAGCTACATTCATAATACATTTGATAATGGTATTATAATGAGTCGACAGCATTTGTGAGTACCATTCAAGGCTTTGGATGCCTACCACTTGAATCTTCAATGGGTCATTATTTTTAACATCAACAGCGACAGATCGAGGCAGACAAATTCCAATCACAGGCAGCGGCACATTTTGAATATCGTTTGCATGCCCTATTGTTCCTCTATCGACCTTCGTGCTCCGAAAAGTATCATTTGTTTCAAAGGAGTGTGCTGTTTGTCGTTTATCACAACTCTATCATAAAAAGGGGTGGGAGAGGGGAAGCCCGGCATAGCCAGGCGGTTCGAGTGCCTCTATATATAAAGCGGTTACTTTTTTGTGTCTGTTCGTATGGCCGTTTGTGCGTCCCTCCGAAAATCACCTAGGCACGGTGAAGAGTGTGAATGTCACATGAGCGAGGTGAGGAAACAGCTATGAAATGGGAAGTAAACCGACACTATTATATTGGTCCTCTAACAAGTCGTGGGTAAGCGGTAAGTGGGCATGTGGTGCACGCATTAGCGTGCGTAGCCCAACTGGTACATATTATAGCACGATGCCAGTACAGATAGAAGTCACAGTTTTGAAGTACGCTTTACACTCCAAGTTACTCACTTCACTCCGCAATATTCACTCTACGCCATTAACCTACCCACCACCAAGTTACTGCTTTATATACATTCAAGTCGGGCCGCCCGGCTAACGCCGGGCTTCCCTCCTTCTTATGGTGTCGCCCGGCTTTGCCGAGCGCTCTTCCTTCCTGTAAGAAACTTGCTATGCGTAATCGGAGAAAAAACAGACAGACGGCCTAAGGATGCGTACTGCGTGAAATTTCCGTGCAATTGGAATACTTTGAACCCCCTAGGGCCGAATTGTCAACTTTCGCGCAAACCCCGCCCCCTGCGGTGGAAACGGTCCTGCCACCCGCTCTTATTGTGCACATCTTGCCGCATGTACTCCTTCAAAATTTGAACTTTTTAGGTTCATGGGGACAGGAGTTATTAATTTCTGCTCAGACCCCGCCCGTTGTGGGCAGAGTCTGATTTTGCTACCCTTCATGAGTGTTTTCATCTCGCCGCCGGTACTCCTTCTAACTTTGAACTTGTCGATCCATGGGGACAGGAGACCTGCACATGGTACAATATCATTGGTACTCAGCACGTGCCGATGCTTACGCCTATAATTACAATATTATAGAAGTCTCTATTCATTGCTCCTCATCTCGCAATTGTGTCACATTGATGGCTTAACAGATTGACAACCAATGTCTCGAATGGTACCCAGATATGGATAATAACGGTATCACAGACGTCGTTATCAGGCACATTTCCGCACCGATTTTTCATTAACTGGGAATCCCAAATCATTAGCGGTCAGATGAGTTTAGTCACAAATGATATGACACAAAACAGAAAGGAATCGTGGTTCTTTATTGTGTCACAAATCTTACTCCGTAACGGTCGTAGTTTATATGTATGTTTATTTGCTTCAGCCTTTCCAAGCTTCTAAACCTTATAGGGCTAACGTTTCGGCGAGTTCGCCTTCGTCAGAGCCTAAAAAGTCGAAAAAACCATTGAGACTGACTCTATAATAAGGCGAGATAAACCCAAGACAGTTCTTTAGAATAGAGACCCCTCGAACATGGTATACAAGAGGCTAACCTTG